CTTTGGATGGGGTGGGGATGGGGTTGGGGTGGGGTGATGTTAACGTTCGTATGAAGTTGCAGCCTGCATTTCCGAAACTATAAACCCAAGAGACCTGCAAAACGCGTGCGCGCAAAAAGTTGGTGCATTTGCGGCTTTTCGCCCTTCGAAATTCCATTTCACCAGTCTCGTCTCTGGTAAATATTGGGAAAAAACAAGACATGATCCAAGCTGTGAGAAAAGAACGCATGGTAAAAATGGGACGTTTCAAGAAGTGTACATGTCCGAACTGTGCAAATCGCACAGAGTAACTATTGGCGTTTGCATGTCTTTACCATGGTGGGTGGCTTCAGTCGGCGCCAAACTCTCCCTATAGTTCAGCCTGTAATGCAAACACGGTGGTGAATCTTTTGCCAGCCTATCAAGAAGCACAATAATTTTTGAACTCCTTCCCACACGCAAGCCCAGCTGACAAAAACCATTTCACATATCGCCGTATTTGAATCTTTCTGAACTGCCGGTAGATTGCCACCAAAACACACTAATCCTTTGCCCTTGGATGTCATTTCGGTCCCGACCGGACGTTGGTTCGGTTTCACTGGTTTCTTCATGCTTCGGTGGATTTGGTGACTTCAGGGCACTTAGCCGACTTAGCATCCAAAACCACTGAGTTTCCCAGTGGCATGGTCCGACCCAGCGACCCACCAGTGCCCGGGTGCTTTTGAAAGCCGCACAGAAAGAATGGAGGAACTGGTTTTGGGTGGACATGGTGGAACACTTTTGCTCTGTATAAAGCTTTGGCTGGCAGGAGGCGTCCTGCATTACGTGTTGACAGTCGGAATTTGTTTTGCTTTGCAAGTGTTGACTGCCGGGGTGGTCTTGTACAAGTTTGTGCATGGTATTGCAAGTTTTGGACGGTGCGTAGGAATTCATATTTGAACTACAGGTTTTGGCTCTAAATTGCGAGGTTTCATTCATTGCAAGTCTTCAACGCTGGCGAGAGATTGTGCTAATTGATTAATAGATATATGTATACAGGTGGTGTAGAGATACATTTGTCACCATATTTTAGCAAGATACTGTATACATACAGAAATTATGTATTGTTTTTTCATTCTTGTGCATCTTTCAAGGTGGTGCCGGCGTCATACACTACAAGTTTTGGGTTGGGGCTGGAGGTTGTAGTACAAGTCGTGAGCAGTGCGAGAGAACCTAAACTTTGCATGTGGCACGCTTTAATGGACGCTGGTGGTTGTTTTACAAATTGAATGGGAGGGTGCTACCTAAGATGCAAGATGTTTTAAGTGGTGTTGGGGATTATGCAAAATTTTATGTGGTACGGCTGATTTAGTACGACCAGTTTTGGATGGGGGGGGGATTTGTACAATTCTGGAGTGGCACAGTAGCTTTTATCTGATATACATTGTTCCACCAGATGCAATGTCACAATAGAAACTCTAACTAGATCCCACAAAAACTGATCACTGATCAGACTCCAAACAGGATATGAACACACTATTTGTGTTTTCAGACCATCCTTAGTCTCAACACAGCATTTCAATATGGGGCCATGCAAAAACTACCTCCGACAAACCATCTTAGATAGAAGGAACACAAATAGGACAGTCATCAAATGTCATCAACATGTCGCGAAAACCTGGCGGACAACATTCTTGCACTAGTATCAGCGCAATTTTGTACATATCATTAGATTGCTGGAATCCTGACCCAAGACTCCAGTAGCGCCTCTTCTTCATGACGTCAGTGAACTAAATCTGACTATATATTCGTTCAAGTATCTTCTACCCTATTAAATATCAAACTGGTTTGCACAAAAGTGCACATTCAGGATGACACAGCGCTCGTTGCAACAAAAGAACGTTATATACGTTTCAAGGCAAAACCTGCCACAAACAACATGAATCAATCATCTTGAATTTTCGCGAGGAAATCAAGGCCTGACTTGCCAGTGAAGGCCTTCGCGAAAGTTGTTAAGCTCGGCAGAAAGGTCATGCCTCCGATCACAACTCCTCTCGCCATAGGCAGGAGCACGCAGGATTCGCAAACAAAACTTCTGGATTTGAGACACCGCCATGCTGTGAACATCATTGTGACTAGGGCATTTTCAACCAAAGGAAGATCTTGCCTCCCAGCACAGGTCAGTTGCTGTTCCTGCAGTATTTCCTCACTTGTGCTTTGTAAAATGGATGGCCAATCTAATGTGCTGATGTGCCAACGCATTAGAAAACGCTGTCGTCGACGTCCGACTTCTTGCGCAGTCCATAGTCTCGTAGAAAAACGAATGTGGCACGATTGAAGAGGTAGGCACCCAAGCTACATCGCCCCAAAGGCTCCAAGAAAGCCACCTTGTTGGAAGCTCTGGTTCGACATCATTTGAGGATCTGTTGCCCTTTGTCACCGGATGGTCTTTTAGGCCAGGATTTAGGAAAAACGTTTCCCTTTGCGAAGGAAGGTGCAACACAAAAGGCACAAAGACTTGATGTGAAAGAAAACTACCTTAAACATTGCTTTGATTGCTTGTTGAACTGACCTTCGCTGAACCTCTCTATTCCCTGCCTTAGGCGCCAGGAGGATGGCCACAGCTCCGACCCATAGAGATTGCTGCACCACGGCTAGTGGCATGCAAAGTGCCATCCCCAGTTGTGTCTCGTAGCAAGGGCTCCGGGATGCGTCGCTAAATCCTTAGCCAAGTCTAAAAACTTGCGGAATTCCCTGAACACATGAGCCGAGGGGGGCGAACATATTACATGCTCACATTGCCATACTGTGATATAATCCAATATCCAACCTACCCACACTTTCCACAACATGGCAAATCGCCTATAATGATGATGAGAAGCCAGTACGGGAGTGGTTGGCACATTGTCTGTACATACTTGGCGTGGCTTTTCGAACAGCACAGTCAACATGGGAAGCTGGAGTGGGGAGGTGCCAACTGTCTTACTGTCTTGCTAGAAGCAAGAGCTTTCCGAGGAAGCTTTTCAAACATTCATGGAATACAGCAACAAGAGTTGCGGTAGCACCAACTCAACAAGCAATGTTGTACAATGTATGAAAGAATGTAATCAATGCTATGCAACCCTCGACGTCGACCAGCGCTCGAAGTCCAGTCAACTGTACGACGACTCAAGCGCAACGACGCCTTTTCAACACGCAGCCTCAATGGATCCGGTGAACCCACCCACTGAACCCAATCGCGGTTCGACCATGCGATACCTGCATTTCATGGAATTCACACAGCGGCTTTAAACGTCTAAGAGAGTCGTGGAAGTGCAAAGGGCATACATGATACTACGGGATATACCGGGCATCTGCTGCCCGGTTTTTAATTTTCGGTTTTGGCAGCGCTCTCTGCCCTGTGGGTGGTGACTGAAGGGCAATGCCAATTAAGCGGGGTCATCGGTGCTGAGTTGTTAGACATCGTTATACTGGCAAAGTGCACTATGGACATGAACACATGTGTCACTTTCAAAAGTCAGGTTGCATTTATGTTGAGTTTTTTGCCTTGAGCCTTCACATATTGAAATTTCACTCTTCACTGCTTGGAATATAATAGACGAGTTGGGGAGGTTAGAAAATCATAGATCATAGAAAATCCCCGTCAGGCTCTATGAAATATTATTCGGAGCCATACGACTCTGGGTTGGTTTACCATGTTATTGGTTAAACATATGTGAACATGTGTGAACGATACATGCTCTGTATCATCAGCAGTCGTGCTAATGGAGAATTCGTTGGTGTAATCGAGGACCACCTATCTGCAATGCCAGGCAAACTGAAATTTCGAGTTGCTTTTGACGATGAATTTGTTCTAATTGCATCTACAGTAATTGCTTTCAAAAGCTATCTGACGCTATTTGGTTTCTTCCGACGTTGGAATGGGAGCCGAGCAGCTGCATGCGATTGGTGGCCTGACACTTGCGATCATGTACGCCAATGATAGACATCGCCAAATAATGTGCCCAAATGCAGATGTAGAGTTCCAGTGTGCAGTGAATGCCTTCACAAGAGCCTTGAGTTCATTGCTTCCAGGACAAGGGGACAAACAACTGTTCTTGTTCATATGGAGTGGTCCCACAAAAAACATGAGAAAGGGAATGCAAAATACAAGCAAGTTGCAGGGGCTACGTAGGCGCCAATGAGCATGAGTGTGTATTCTGTGGACATCGCACCGGGGCTGAGCCGAGGTTCTAGCTGTCCGGTAAGTGGAAGCAGTGCGGAAGCAGCGGTGAAGACTAATATCTGCATCCATCCAGGCACTCCAATCTTATGACTTAGAACAAGCAAAATTCGGCCAATGAAAATGAATAGGATGAACCAACCTCAGTTGAGCCAGGAACACCAAAAATTACAATGTTCTGAGATGTGTCAGGGAACTACAAGTAGCCCAGAATGGCACAGCCGAATTTGAAACGAGCATCTTAGATTTTGGTGCTCCGGATTGTGCAAAACGATAGCGTCATAGCTCAGTGCTGCTGAAAGATCAAGCTTTGCCAGTCCAGAATAGCCGGAAGGAGCGGTTCGGGCCGTAAGCACTTCCCAAAATATGATGAACAAAGAGAAGAACAGTTCCTGGAAAACGAGGATGAACAAGAGGAACATTTCACGCTCGAAGCCTCCAAAAACAAAGTTTCGGTGCTGCGATTCCAGGTAGCCGTAGCAAAGCAGGAAGAGTGCCACCTCAGCTTAGATACATGTTAATCCAAATGTTCAAGAAAGCAAGTTGCAAGCTGACGTGCTGGGAAGGCAGGGGTATTGTAGGCAAAGTTGCGGGTTTCATGTTGACAGCCATCAAGTGGCCCAATTGCCACGTATCTTGCTCTGGACGGAATGGCGCTGTGTAATCTGAAAGCTCCCCTCCCCTCGGTTCAAAAACCATGAACTGAACCAAAATGCAGTGCGCAAGAAACAAGCACCTAGAAGCTTCACAGTTCGCTCAAACGCTTCCACAAGTCCGGGCATAAGTCCGGGGACAAACTTTCGGCAAAAACCTGAGGTCGCCAAAGTGACGTGAGCTGTTCAATTAGGGTCCCGGAATTGCTCTTTGATGCTCGTCGTTTTGTTTGAAATTATTCCCGAATGCGCAGCGAAGGGTTCTCGTTTAACTCTGGGGGTCTGGGGGTAGAGCTTTGTTCGTGACCCGGTGTCTCAGTGTTTGCAACCGTTGTCAACCGTCCGCAGCCGTTCGTGGTAGGCCGCTAAGGCGCTGCCATTGGGGGAAGCTTTTGGAGAGGGTTTCGGATGGAAACGTCACGTGTCAGATTCGTGTGAAATAGATTGAAAAATATAGCGAGGAACCGTATGGAAATGTAAGATGTTGAAGTGTGGAGGATGTGTTTGTGAGATCCGCAGTTTTCTGCGCAGTTTCATTGGGATTAGCATTTGGAGAGTAGTGTTTTGGGGGTGTTGGATGTGGAGGTGCCATTGGGATTTGCGTTTCAGGGTGTTGCATCGAAGCCCTCGTGACAAGTCTCAGCTGACATGGCGATGTAATCCCCTGCATTGTTAGGTTGGATGCGTTTAGAAGCATTATGTAAACTTTGGGCCCTATAAAATGCCTGGGGAGGGTGGATTTCCTATAAAATGCCTAACCAAGCAAAAAACAAACTATAAAATGGGGTAAGTGGATTCTGAGCACTCAACACAAAAACATAGCAAAAAAAACGGCAGGCCTATAACTTGCCTATGATGAGTTCACGATAGAAAATAGATCAAAACGTGCACCGTCTATAAAATGCCAAGCGCAAAAAAAGGGAGGCGCAAATCAGAAACTATCAGGTGCCTCGCAACATCGCAGAACTTTGTCAAACACGCTTTGTAATTGGATGTGATTAGCTGGAATTAACCTGCTGGCCTGTTCTGGCACAATGGTAGTAATTATATACGTGAGTCGTCAAGCGCACATGGAACACGTGAACCCAAAACAACTTGGCGAAAAAACGCCTCACCGTTTTGGCTCAAGAAAAGGTCCGCACACACATCCGTGACGCGACTCCCATGGGTTATGAGCCCAAGGATTTGAAGCCAATGACATCGACGACATTACGGAGGAGAAGATCGAAGACACCGACCGCCGATGAGCAGCTGGATGCTATGATAGAAGCAGCGAGAGAACAACCTCGGAGGGCACAGAGCTTGGAGCCGAGCAGGACGATGACACCCTCCCTGAAGAGAACCTCCTATGCAGCGGTGACAAGTACCCCGGCGGAGAGAAGACAGGTGGAAGAACAAAGGGCGCTACCTGCACCAGAAGATCCTCGTGAACTGGGGCCTCGTGGCCCACCGCAGGTGTTCATGCCTATGGTTCCGCCTTTGCCAACCTTTCCACAGGCGCCTATGGTGGGTGGGCTACAACCAGCACTACCTGCACCAGCCGGTCCTGGACAAGTTGGAGGGCGAGATGGTGGTGGGGGCATGCCTTCTCTACTTCAGCCGGTTCACGAACAAGCTTGGGGGAGCAGGGTTGGAACAACCCTACCCTGGAATGTGGGGGAGTGGAGGCTCTGCAGACCAATTGCCGGTGGCGCCTCAAGGACGTCGAGAAGAACTACGTGAAGGAGGTCCATCGGTGAGGGGGCCATGGGGGAGTTGATCCTCAGGAAATCGGTGGTGGTCGTGAACGAGTTCTCGAAGAGACGAAAGGTTCCGTGAAGAGTTCACCACTGAATCCCTGGTCCGCAGAGAAATTGAGGGAACTTCATGATCAAGCCCGTCCAAGCGATCCTCGAGGACAAGGTCAGCAACCTCGTGACGGCGATCAAGTCGAACGTCTTCGTGAACGATGTCTGAAGGAGGCCGAAGCGAAATCCCAAGAAGAAGTTCGCAAGTTGGGACCACAGAGCTCGAACTCGTCGTTCCAATCGGCTGTTGAAGCTCCTGGAGGCAAAGTCCAAGGTGATCGAGTTCAACCAGGTGGGGAAGCTATTGGAAATGTGAAGACCACTGCACCCATAGTCAATGTGGGTTCCAATGGCGTAGGCGTTGGGTCGGTAGCATATCCATGGCCCTATCCTCCTGGACTACCCGGACTACATCCTTGGGGGAATGGTGTGTGTAGCATTTTTCCGAATGGAAATCCATCCAGTGCAAATGGCGTGTGGATGCCAGCCGAGACATCACTGGGCGACAACGCTCGGTCGGTGGAATTGCCAGTGCTGGGCTTGGATGCTACGGCGCTGACGTTTGGTGACTGGTTGACTACCCTGGAGCCACTCGTGTCGGAGATTAGCCAAGGGGCCAATCAATGGTGGCACTTGACCTTAAAGAATGTGGAACAGGCCTATGATGCTTGGTTGGTGGCTGATCCTCTACAACGCCTGCGTCTTGGCCCTGCCCATTCAGAAGAGGCGAACAAATGGCCTCGGACAGAAAGAAGGATGCTCAGCCTGCTGTTGCAAGCGGTGCCAGACACTGTGAAATCGGAGGTCATCACGGCTCGCAAGATGACGGTTGCTCAAGTGCTGTTCATCCTCTATATATAAAATTTCAACCCGGAGGACAAGGTGAAAGAATGAACCTCATCAAGAACTTGACCGAGCTCAAGCTGACCCAGAACATGGGCGATGCTGTGGAATCGCTCGGAGGAGTTGGGGGTGCTTCTTACGGATCCAGTGGTCCTTGCAGGGGTGTTGGTGAAGGCTTCAGACCATTTGGCGAAGTCTGGAGCGCAGGTGGCCTATCGACTGGCGACGAGCAGGCAGCAGTTGTTGATCGATACCAGGCCTATACGTTGGACAACCTCAAGATCTTCGCGGAGTTCCTGCAAGCGGAGGCGGAAGAGCTGGCGATGGGATCGGGAACTGGAGTGGGGCAAGGAAAGGGTCCGTCATTGAAAGCAGTGGCAACCAATCCTACTTCCGGAACTTCATTCACATCCATGACGAGTCCTTCGGTGGGGGAACAACGGGAGAATGTCGCCGGTGACAAAGACACTTGCAGGTTTTGGATGACCGAAAAAGGGTGTCGGCGTGGCATTGCTCTGGCTTGAACCACAGCCGCGCAGCTTGCCCGTTCTTGAAGAAGGAGGGGAAGGGAGAAGAGGCGGTCAAGGTGGCGAAGGTCAAAGGGGGAAGCAACACAAACAGCCCGGAAAAACCGGAGCGTGCTAGGGTCTTGGAGGAGGAGGCCAATGCTTCAACTTCACCATTTTTGACTAGTAATGTGCTGAAATAATTTCACAGGGGTCGAGCGCTGCGCAGAAAAGGGCTCCTCTTGCCGGAATCAGGAATCAGCAGAAAGGTAGGCTACAAGGCAAGCCTTGTGTCTGCTGGGCATAAATGTAAATTTCATGGAACCCTGAGCCCTGAGCGTTGAACATTAAAAGCTCTAGGTCCTATACGCTGTTAGCGGCTCAAATCCGTAAGTATTTCGCAACCCCTCGGATTTTGAATCTGCATGGCGCCCTATACTTTAAGCATCAAGAAGATTTTTGGCATGGAAATTGCCGATGGAAGGAAGCTGTTTGAGGCGAGGCGAACAAAGGACATCAAGCAGAACTTAGAGGGGCGCAGCATTGCGTTTCACTGGTTTACTTCCACCCGCGTTGTTTGCGAAGTGCTCTCGGTGACGAAGTTTGACAATGCTACCAACATGGTTCGTCAAATTGGCCACCGCGAGCTGGTTCCATCCAGCGAGACTCCACAACAGTGCTGCGCCTCTTGGGTTTATTATTTTTGCATAAAACCAAATCATTTTTTAAAACTCATTATTAGTCAATGTAGTTCCCAACCTGCTTAGTAGCACAAGTTGGATAGTGATTTGAGGCCCTCTACGCTGAGATGTACGGTGCCCCGGTGATAGCAATTGAGCTTGGCAATCCACGTTTGCTAGAAAATGTTGAGCCGAAGATGCCTAAGCCCAAGAGAGGCAAGAAAAGACCTGCAGCATCGTCCTGAAAGTTGCAGGCCATCAGCTTAGCTTTGTCGCCAGGGTGTCCATGCAAAAAGCGTGAGCGTGAAGCGTTTGTTATGTGAATGATATTATCGTTTATGTGGCTAGCAGAATCGGACTGTTTGGATAATAAGACCTGGGATAATTCATTTGGGGAGAGCTAACGGGATGCGGAAGGGCAGGCCATGGGACCAACACGGGCGCCAATGTTTAGTTTGCTGGTGGGCGTCACCGCTTGCAGCGGGGAGGGGCTGCTCGCAAAACCAACTTTCAAATTCATTCCAAGTTGGTCTGGTATCACCAAAAGATGAAACTATAAGATGTTAACAGCTCTATATAAGAATAAATGAAATAATCTTTGTGAGTGAGATGATGATTTAGGGTTATTTGCTATGTGAAGCTGACAATCAGCTCAGAGGACCCTACTAAATCCGACTGGCAGGTTTGTTCAGGTGGACCCACCGCTCCGCATCCCACTGACGGACGTGTCAACAGATGACACCCTCGACGCCGCCCAGTTGGCCCAGATGGCCGCCGCCGTGTCTCCGGAGAGGACAATGCAGTGAGAGTCTCCCCGACGCACGGTGTCATCGAGATGTTCACATGGTAACCAACTGCATGTCTCATACCATGAATTCTTCCTCGCAACTCCTGTGTGGACGTCGTTTTGCGGAAGCACAACAAGTACTAGACATAATGTCGGGGAGTCTCTTCCATATACAAGGGCTGGTCGCGAGCTGAGCAGAGAGAGTGCGCAAAACATATGCAATGGGCGCTGCGTGTCACCTCCGGCTACTCGGGCACGTTTTTCTCTGGGAGAGCCGATTAGAAAATGACCAGCGTAGTGGTTCTTAACTACATCTAGAGCGAAGCACACGTCACCTTTAGAGCCTCTGCGCAAACAGACTGTGCATTTTCCGTGGTTGACCTTTCGGTGCTCACAGTGAGATTGCAGAAGTATCCATACAACTTGGGCCAACTACCAAAATATCTTAGCCAGAAACCAAAGCAACTCAACAGCAATGAAGAATATACTTGCAAGAAGTTTCAACGCACCCCACGAGCTTTTGCAATATTCATTTCCCACATGAACCTTTACAAGGCAAGCAGAGCCTTCTTATGGCTATGCAGGTGCTATTTACCAATTTGCAGCCCACTTGCGTAGGTCTGCCTGTTTTCCCAGCCATCATGCCAGGGAACCTTGGCATTGTTGACGCGCACTGGTTCATCGTCACCGATGATGACCAGATACAGGTGTGCCTCTGTTGGTCCTATGGAAGCAGGACTTACCATGACGACCTGCCTGAGCTCCTCCATGAAAGATGGCCAAACCAGACCATAGAAGACAGAGACTGGGTTGCCAATGGAGAAACTGAACAGTTTTGGCGAGTGGTCCGGTGGTCCAGTGGATGGAAAGACTGGGTGAGGAACAACAGCCGCAACTTCACAGATGCCTACACCATCCAGCTCTGCTTCGGGTCGAGGTTTCGCCTGAGCAAAGACCATGAATCGAGGTGAAAAAATATCTAGATGTTCACATGGTAACCAACTGCATGTCTCATACCGTGACTTCTTCCTGACAACTCCTGTGTGGACGTCGTTCTGCGGAAGCACAACAAGGCGGTTACTAGACATAAACTATCTTTTCTGTGTACAAAGGCTAGTCGCGAGCTGAACAGCGAGAGTACGCTAAAACATATGCAGTGCCTGCTGTGTGTTACCTCGTGCTACTTTGTCACGTTTTTCTTTGAGACAGTCAATTAGTCAATGACAAGCATAGTGGTTGGTTACCTACATCCTAGAGAAGCTGTGCCATAGAGTGCAGGAAACGTTACACCTGATCGTATATCGATGGACGCATCTCCTCTGACAGGTCACTGCTTCGAGAAACTTGTTGCGTGGCTGCCTCAGCAATTTTCTATTCTCATTCCAGCTCACTTTTTTCAGTGAGATTTCCTGCAGCCGTGCGCACTGCTTCTCCCCTTACCAGAAGCTCAAATGCTCACGACGATGAGCTGGGCCGTCACCGCTTGGCCGCCGGTGGGGGGTTTGGGAGGCCTGCGCGCTACTTCGTTCACCATAATACTGGTCGCGAGCCGAACAGCGAGAGTACGCTAAACATCTGCAGTGCCTGCTGTGTGTCACCTCATGCTACTTTGTCACGCTTTTCTTTGAGACAGTCAGTTACTCCGTCCTGAAAATAGATGGTTAAAAAAAAATGCGCCATCTACGAGCGCCAGAGTACCACAGTAGAGTTGCGCCATCAGTAGGCATCCTGACAGTATAAAAAGGGCGAGATTTAGGCTTCAAAACCTCGTACTCGGAGACCCCTGACGGCACGCCCCATCTATATACTCCAGTTAGAAAGTAGAACTACAATAGCTGAATCTCTTGTGCAGAGAAAGAAAGAGAAAGAGAAAGGAAAAGCAGGAGAAATAGTAAAACACAGAGTAGGATGGGCGCCGATGGGCTTGAGTGGTGTTTGGACTGCTTTGAATGGCTTTGCACTGATGTGCATTGTGCCATCTATAGCGCGTTTTTTTCTCGCTCGTTTTTGCAAGCTCATGTTTTCTTGCGTTTGCATTTTTGCACCCCCCTCTCCCTATAAATGCGCCATCTACAGGTGCAAAATAGCGAGGAAAAATACATTGATGGCGCATCCGGGAACACTCCCGGGAACCCTGACTTGTGCCAGAAACTTTTGGGGCGGTGTAGTCAATGACAAGCATAGTGGTTGGTTAACTACATCCTAGAAAAGCTGTGTCCTGGAGTGAAGGAAACGCTACCTCTGATCGTATATCGATGGACGCATCTCCTCTGACAGGTCACTGCTTCGACAAACTTGTTGCGTACCTGCCTCAGAAACTTTCTGTGTTCATTCCAGCTCGCTTTTTTCAGTGAGATTTCCTGGAGGCGTCCACGCTGCTTCTCCCCTTACCAGCATCTCAAATGCTCACGACGATGAGCTGGGCTGTCACCGCTTGGCCGCCGGTGGGGGGTTTGGGAGGCCTGCGCGCTATACTTCGTTCACTATATCTACAGTGAAGACCTTCACCAGCAGCAGACATGGACACACGCACAGACAGGGACTCATACACACACATCACACACAGAGACCCGCGCTGCCTCAACTTACTCGGACACACACTCACTCATACACACACAGACATAGATACACACACAGAGACCCACACACTACCTCAACTCACTCGACTTAACACTTCACACCTGAACACTTCACAGATAACTCACACTCTGACTTCCTACGTGATGAAAAATGCTTTCGGGCCACTCGTCTAGTCTTTGTTTTTTCCCCAAACAGTGTGGGCACACTGAGGGGTTCTTATGGTAAGGGAAAAGCAGGGGTGCTTAGATCGCTGTTCCGCGCGGCCGTGTCCGGCTGTTTTGCTCCTATTTACAGTGCATTCATGACTCTCGACATCGTCCATGTGCACTTCGACTGCGCAGGCTCGCAAAATCTGCCTGCCGGCGGCGGGTGCTTCTAGCGACTGGGCTCTCGTTGTGGTGCTGTGCACATTTTCGCACATGGTGGTCACTTTTCGTGGCAGGTGCCAGGTGCAGGGGAAACCTTGTGTTTGGGTGCTCAAAGGCGACTTGTCGTGACAGGTGCAAGGGACCGGAGCTGTTTTGCTTCGAAATGCAGTTTTCGTGGCAGGTGCAGCACTTTGGACATGTTGGCGATCGTCGAGGAGCTTCGATTTCGTGACAGGCGCAGGCAGTGAATCGTGACTTTTGGACATGTGGCTTGGGCGCAGATTTCGTGGCAGGCGCAGCACTTGCAGGTGGACCTGCAAGTGCAGATTTCGTGGCAGGTACAGCGCTTGGTGAACCTCGAAGTGCAGATTTCGTGGCAGGCACAGCACTTGGTGAACCTTGAAGTGCAGATTTCGTGGCAGGCGCAGCACTTGGTGAACCTTGATTTCGCGACAGGTACAGCACTTTGTGAACCTCGAAGTGCCGATTTCGTGGCAGGCGCAGCGCTTGGTGAAACTTGAAGTGCCAAGACCAGCCCTCCTACAAACGTTTTCCAACCAGCCTGATCGAGGAAAGCAAACCTGATTTCAGGACAAACAGAGGAGAGAGCCTCAGTAGGGAGGTAGTTGGGGCTAGCCGGAAGTCCATGGGCAAGGGAAAGTAACATGGCCGAAGCTGTCCCACCAGCCCACTGCGAGGCTCTCAGGCATGTGGGTCTGATCCACGAAGTGCGGCCGGTGGAAGGTTATGAGAAACATATAGTCTGAGCATGTCTGAGCTCACTATCACTACACTACACTTTACACACTGTACGAATTAGCTCTCTTCGACTGCCGTAGTTCACCTTCTTGAAGTTCACTTAAGTGATCACTACGATCACGTGGGGCCCCCATCATGTCCCCCCTCCCAGACTACCTGGGACTGAGGGTGGTGAGGGTGGGCCCGCGCCAGCAACCACTTCATTTCATAACTTACATTCCATTATTGTTTCGTGTGCAAAAGGCATGACTACTCCGTAGAAATCTGCATTTCTAGATGATGAACCTTGCCGTAAACACAACAAAACCAAGGAGCCCTTACACTGCCGACATTTGTATACATGTGTGCCTATTTGTGCACTAGTTCTTTCCACTGTCTTGTGTGGATGCTTTGCTTTACCAAGGTCACTCAATGCTAGCCACCTAATTACTCCCGTAGCTCTTGATCGGAAAAACTTTTCATCCGGACTACAAATACTTGGGCATGTCAGCTCTTCAAGCAACAGACCATGGTTCACACGACAAGCATCGACAAAAGTGCCGACGCGGTTGCCGCTAAATTTTGGAATGCGACCAAAACAAAACTGCAAGTACAGTGGCGAGTATTCATATGTCTCGGAGAACGCATGGACAAACGTGACAAAGATTATAGCAAAGCCGTACATAGTCTCCAAAAGAGCAAGCTCCTGTCAACGCATTTACGCGTGGACGTCATTCGCTAAGCGAATGTAAAACACAAACACAATACGATCGATCGTGTACGAACGGCACCACTTGCACGGTGACAAAACAACAAAATAAGTTTGGGTTTGAGGTTCATGGCCGGGGTGGTCTGTCCTGCATCTTGGCGTCGTTCGCATCCCTGGCCTTTCCCAACGAATCCACAGCCTCACCAATCACAAGTGCTGGAGACCATCTTTTTACACCTGTGCGTTTAGCTGATTCATTTTGCAAGTTGTTTGTGGCCAAGGAACTGTTTTGATGGGTTTTTGCGAAGAAGCCTCGATGGGCAGCGCAAGGCCGGAGGTGGCATCCCAGCTGGTCACCTGCCACATTGCGAAGACACATGAAGATACAACAGTAGACTATGAAACAAGTGATGATCTGCAGCACTGCTAACATCATCAAACATTTGACTCAGTATGGGTCAAAACTTCAGGACTTTGGTTCTCTCCAGGAGTAAGCAGAATAGACTGCCGGCCACTAGTGGCCAGTGGCCTACCATGGTTTTGAAGACCTCTCAACTTAGCAAGGTGAGAAAAGGAGGCTATTGCAATGTGTCCTTTGAACATCTTGTTAAATCAATGAACAAATAAATGCTTAATTGCTGCCCAAATAATGAAACAGCAGCCTTAAGGAAATGCAATGGGCTAAGTCGTTTCCTGGTAAATCTGGATGGGTGTGTTTTGCTCTAGACTCCTAATTTGTTCCTATATTCCCCTACAATTCTTGTGGAAATCGCGGTAGTTTTTATATATTTTTAAAATCTTTTCATATTGCAAAGATTCCGGTAATAAATCCCCACTCGCTTCTTCTTCATGGAAACCTTCGTACCTTCCTCGGAGATCTTGATGCTGCCGGCCAAAAGAAGAGAGCAGCTGTTCTTGAGAGAAGGCGCACCGAAAGAAACGGTTTGATCGCTGTAGATACCACGCAATTTCAACACCTGCCTGACACGTAGGTAAAATGCAACTGCTTAGCCTCAAAGAAGGAAGCGACTGGGGACAAATTACGCCGCCGTAGACCCCGAACAGGTGAGACAACAAAGAAGCATTCCCAAGTCAATTTTTTTGAGACATGGGAGACAAGAAGGAAGACAAAGCGGACACAATGACTAACAAAGAATGGAGACAAAAGGAAACAGAAGAGAAACAACACGGACACAATAACCGATAACCAACAAGAAGGGAGACAGAAGAAAACAGAAGGGAGACAAGACGGACACGTGACACAGTGACCAACAAGAAGGGAGACAAAGGGAGAAAGGCGGACGGAAGGCGGAAACGCAGACGGACACAGTGACCAACAAGAACAGACAAGACTGGAGACAAAGGCGGGCAAGAAGGAAGACAAGGCGGACGCAATGACCAACAAGAAGGGAGACAAGAAAGGAAACAAAAGGAACGGACACAGTGACCAACAAGAAGGGAGACAAGAAGGGACACAAAAGGGAACGGAAGGGAGACAAGGACGCAGTGCAGTGACCAGCAAGAAGGAGCCAAGACCGGAGACAAAGGGAGACAGAAGGGAGACAAGGCAAAGACAATGACTAACAAGAAGGGAGACAAGAAGGGAGAAAAAAGGAAACAGAAGGGAGACAAGGCGGACACAGTGACCAACAAGAAGGACTGGAGACAAAGGGAGAGAGCAGGGAAACAAGGCGGACGCAATGACCCAGGGAGACAATCCAGATAGGCGGAGCAGCAAGGCAGACACTCTTAGAAAACATTGAGAACTTCTAACTGTAACCTGTTGAGGGAAAAATCCACTGGAAAACAAATGAATAGACATGCTGCGTGGCCAGCGGAAAAGGGCGGACACCACAAATGCAGGCACCGAACCTGGCAAAAATAAGTACTGAAATCAGGGAACGAAAATAAAGAAATCAACTGGGAGACAAATGAGTAGAAATGCTGCCTGGCCAGCGGAAACACCTGGGAGACAAATGAATAGAAATGCTGCGTGGCCAGCGGAAAAGGGCGGACACCAGCAGTGACAGAAAGGGCGGACACATCTTAAGAAAGACTTGAGAACCCCTAGTAAACTGTGTGCGGAAAACATTGCGACGAATGAATGTCCGAGTTATAAAACTTAACCCAAGGAAAACTCTACATTCCATACAGAGGGGCACCAAACTGGTACAATAATGCGGCGTCGAAAGTGAAAAAGCGATTGAACACCTACAACGGATGAGGAACTTAGAGGATGGATCATAGAAAATTACACCCTAAAGACAAAAGACTGTAGACTGTAGACAACAAATTTGAATGTGTGTTTATGTGTTTGAACAGGGCTTGTTTTGCAACTGGAGCCGCGCTTATATATATACATATATACAGTATACATAATGATCAGCCTCACTCGCCCACTCCCTCACTGTGCCACTTGCTCACTCAGTCAGTCAACCACTCAGTGAGTCACTACATATACAGCACCATACAGCACCCGCAATTTCGGTGCTCGTCTAGCACTTTTTGCTCGCTCGGAGACTGCGGGCAAACCCAAAGTCGAATTCGCGTATGTTACATTCCTGAAATCAATGAAGACACTTGAACTTCGAAAAAAAAACGCTGCCTTGATGAAATACCATCAACAAATGAATCTGACAATTTGGAGGAAGGGACCAAAAACAATAAGACACACCCAACTGGCTGCCACAAAAGCCTCTTGCGCAATACCATCGCCATTCCATTCCAATCACCGCCCTAAGGCCCTGATGAACTGTCCATTAGTGACACTCAAATGGCTGCAGTCTTCTGCAATACTTGCCCAAACAGTACATTCACGACATGCCCCCTCCCTACATTCGGGGCCCACAAAAACCCATTAGAATCCTGTAAGCGTCTTTGACCAAAGATTGACTTCGCAGTTTGGCCCTGCGGCCCATCCGTCAGCGCATTGCCTGCGACTTGTTGACGTCCAAAGCTTCCAGCTTCATTCTCTTGGCGAGTCCGATGCGCGCAGGTTTGCCAGTGGACCCTTTGGGGATATCCTGCCCACACAAGGACGCGGCGCATGACACGTCAGCATCACGCAGCGACATGCATCGCTGCATCGACTTAAGAACGTCACACCTGCGCTGCGCCCAGTTTACCTTTCCGCTTGACCAGATCAAGTCCTTCATGAACAAAATACATTGTGGAAGCCACTTCTCGCTCATCTTGGCAGCGGAGAATTGGCGTAGTTCTTCCAATTTCTTGCTGTCCATCTTCTCCTTAGCAAGCAAAAGGACAGCGCGTGATTCATGACAGCACCCCCGACTGTCTCTTCATGCGCACATGGACATGCACGCGCGCGCGCATCTTGCTTAATCATGGACCACAGGAAATGGGAAGATAACATACAATACTTAGACTTGTCCGTACCATATGAATTTACATTCGTGCCCAGCCCGCACTCTTTTAAATCTCTCCAGCCAAGTCTGAACGTGCTGCGTCGGCGCCGAGACAGGTCGGCTTCGTAGGCCAAGGGCCAGTGTGGTCGAAAGGCCATAGGAAGGCTGCAGCACTGGCCAGAAACGAAGCTCATCCAGGGAGGGCCACGAAAGGGGAGGGCCGTCAGGAAAGCTGCAGCAGGGAAAGAATGAGAGACATTCTTGCCCAGCCCACGCTCTTTTATTTCTCTCCAGCCAAGCCTGAACGTGCTGCGTCGGCGCCGAGACGGGTCGGCTTCGTAGGCCAAGGGCCAGTGTGGTCGAAAGGCTGCAGCACTGGCCAGAAACGAAGCTCATCCAGCTCCATCACAACTTCAGCTGACGTGACAGCGTTGTGCGTCTGCCACGGGCGCCATAGCGCTGCTAAATGGAGTGGCGCAACAAAAAGGATTGAACCTGAGCAAAAGTGTGAGTTGCATCCCAAGTGCCTGAGACTCCGGTGATTTCGGCTACCCCAGGCGGTCGTGTGTCCGCCACCTCCTACACTGAAGAATACCGCCGAGAGATTGCCACCAGCATCGTTGATTACTTCATCCGCTGCTTGCGAGGTGTGAACCGCGGCTCCTCCTGCCGCCACGAGACCAGGTCCGCGACATTGATCCAGTCAAGGTGTTCCATTCGTTTGCTGGCATTCGTCCCTGCCCTTGGTGCGGGACGGCGATTTCTTGGGGGATTCAGTGTTTTGCGGCTTTCCTACGGTTTGGGAAGCCCGTGTTGCGCGCCGGCTTGACTTGGCGGGCTGATGGAGGCAGCCGCGATAGTTCACGGTCACTGGGACCACAGCAGCGGGGCTAGCCTCAGACTTTGAACCTGAGGAGAGTTCCAGCGCAGCCACTCGATCTCGAAGTTCACCGACCTCAGCACGCAGAGCGATGATCTCTTGAGCCAAGGTCCAGGCTCATGCAAGGTGTGCTCTGGCAACCTGAAAGTTCCGGAGCCAGAAGGATTGTTGCCTGATCGACACGGACCAGGCTGCTCGAAAGAGTACCAGCCACAGCTGGCCGAGCAGACACACCAGCTAGGATCGAAGGCCAGTGCGCAATCACCTCCTCGCGCCGCCAGCACGGGAGGATGGGAGAGCTCGACTCCCGAAAAAGAGCCGCTACCGTAGCTCTGCGCGGCTTGGGAAGGCACTAAGCTCATAGCCGTCAGGAAAGCAATGAGAGACATGGTTCCTTTCCGCAACAGTGCAGCTGCTCACACATGTATCCTTTTCAGAATGGTTCGGTCACGCATTGCGCATGTGTACCTCTTCCGTCACGTTTCGAAGGAGCACGTGTATCTCTGCCGTCATGTTTCCGCTACACACGCGCATTTCTTCCGTAGTCTTTGATTCTTTGCACTTTTTCTGGCTCAGCAGCAGGCATGCCCCACTCTTTCTTTTTTTTGGGGCGTGTCCCGCATTGCTTCTGATTCTCACCTCGTGCAGTGGCCGTCGGATCTGCCATCAATCCTTGGGGGCTCCTCATTGGCGGCTTATTGATGTCAAACCGTTGCAGCTCCCACAAGTCATGGTCCCAAATTCTAGAGGAGGACTTTAGACGGAAGCTGATGCTTGCAGTGCTCAATGCCGGCCCTGCCCTGCCCCAGCAGTCCAATGCGCACAAGCGTCGCCATCCCGAAGCACTGCTGCTAAGCCCACTGTTTCTCCCAGTTGTGCGTGAGGACAGCTGAAGGCGATGCAATCGAAGATGGGCGGCCACTGACGGCACACGTTCTCGACCTCATTACTCCAAGACAACAACAAGAAAAATCACTTGTGCCAGGCCAGAGCCTGCTTAAAAAGAACAATCATACTCATACAGAACTTGCACCTGGAAAGTGTCTTTTCCCCCGGCCGCTCCGCATCAGAGCGGCATTCCACTTCAGCATGATAAACAAAAACATTTACCAAAATGTCAAGCACCACACATCTACCATGATAGAATTGAAGTAGTAATTGAAGTGCAACAGCACGTGCCCCAAACAGGGCCGCAGTGCCATGCCAAGGAGTTGGGCTCTGGAAACAAACTCAAAATATTCCCGCAGCCCCCTTCTTTCAGACCGAGCAGCCTCAAAAGGCGAAATTTTTTCGCCTCCGCGATTTATGATCTCTTTGTAGCGGCCCGACAGGCAAAGGTAGTTGTGATCATCAATGTAGCCTGACTTGGTGCGCCATCCATTTTCCGCTCGTCTCAAAACACATCCAAAAACACAAGACAACTTGGAAGAAACTGGCCTTTGTCTCCAGTTCGCAGCCAACCATCTGATGTGAAAGCTTCAATATTTGGGTCCTGGTCCATATGGGCACGCATCTCCTGAGCCGCCACGTCATCCTGATATCATCCTATCACCTACTGCAACTGCCGAAAGCCTGGGCCCTACTTGTTTTTGCAACATTGTGGCTTGGCCAGCCTGAATCTCCACACGCTGGTTCTGCACTTTGTTTAACTTTCTTGTGCTTCAGCCGAGTTTCATATCCTTTGGTCACACAAG